CTGGGTTGATTCTATATCTTAGCTATTGAAAATCCAGCTGCTGTAAACATGGAGGTACAGAAAACTCTTTCATATACTGATTTCTTTTGGTTTGGGTAAATTCCCATGCATTGGATGGCTGGATTGTTTGGTAGGTCTATATTCAGATTTCTGGAGTATCTCCATACTATCTCCCACAGTGGCTGGACCAGTTTACATTCCCACCAATAGTGGATTAGGGTACCTTTTTCCCCACATCCTCGCCAGCATTTGTTGTGTGTTGATTTCTGTATGAGAGTCATTCTAACTCAGGTGAGTTGAAACTTCATTGTGATTTTGATTTGCATTTCCCTGATAGCTAGTGATTGTGAGCATTTTTTCAAGTGTCTGTTGGCCATTTGAGTTTCCTCTCTTGAAAAATGCCTGTTCAAGTGCTTTGCCCACTCAAGTCCTTTACCCATTTCTTAACTGGATTGTTTGTTTTGTTGTGGTTGAACTTCTTGAGCTCTGTATGAGAAACTTCAGTTTTATCCAGCAGGTAGTCAGGAGTTCTTGGTTCAGTGCATCACTTCCCAGGCATCCAGATTAGTTGTTCTTTCTCTTAAAGTGTTTGATAAATATTCTTTCAGACAATGATCTCTTACAGTTACTGAATGAGACATAAATGTGAGGTTATATTGTAATTCATGATTGAGCATTCAGCATTGCTTGTGGTTTTGTTTCCTTGCAGTCAACTAAAATTCTTCTAAGTGGGTTGGCATCATTTGGAAAGCACCACACTGCATTCTAGGTCCTGCGTCCTTTCAGTATGCATGTACCTGTGTGTATATGGCACTTGAACATGCATGTAACACATGTGTGTGTAGCTGCATGTTAGATATTTCCATTTTATATATTTTTGGTTCATTATCAAGAATACCAAGATTCATTGGAAAAAATCTATAAAAATAAAAATCTACCCTTGATCCTAACAATCATTGTTAACATTTTCCTTTCTTTCTAAACAGTTTTCAGTTTTTTCTTTATATGGTTGAGTTTAAGCTACCCATGATGCATTTTAATGTTTATTAATTTATTTGAAAGAGAAAGAGTTCTTCCATCCACTGGTTAACTACCCAAATGCCCACAACAGATGGGACTGGGCAAGGTCAGGGTCAGGAGCATGGAACCCCATCTGTGTCTCCCACTTGAGTGACAGGGACTCAAGTATTTGAGCCATCATCTGCTGCCACCCAAAGCTGGATAGGAAGTGGAATAGCTGGGACTATAACTCCACGTGTGGGATATGGGCATCCCAAGTGGTGGCTTAACCCAGTGTGCCACAAAACACACTCCCCAGGATTCATTTTAATAGCTACACTATATTCTTTCATATGATTAGAACAGGAGTCATTCAAATACTGCCTTATTGTCATAGATTTCCCCCCTAAGTTCTTGCGATCATAAATGATAGTGTGGTGAGCATCCACGTAAGCAGCTTGGACCTTTTCTGATTATTTCCTTGGGGGAGATTACTAGTAGTAGAATTCCTGAATGAAGGGAGTATAAACTTTTTAAAGAAACATGAGTAGTATTTCCATTGTTGCCTGTTATCCCACACCCTCATTGCTCATGTTTTCCTTCTTAAAGCTTCCAGTGACTGAATGAAATGTCTCTTCTTTTACCTTGGTGATGTTTTATCCTAAAGATGGCTTCATGGCCCTGTTGACCCGGAGAGGCTGAGTTTGATGGTCAGCCATTCTGGCTGTGGCCCATTGGAATGTCTGAAGTAATTTGACAAGGCCACCAACTGTTTATTTCTTGAAGCGGGGAAGCGTGTTATCCAGTAGCATTACCTCTGCCTATCCCCCTATGCAGGAAGCAGGGTCATCCTTCATGCATCCATCCCTCTTCCTCCCCATCCATGCCAGACATGTCCCCATGTATCCCATTTGCACTTCAAGATTCCAGAGTTCTCTATTCCAGAGTTTTCTTCTGAAAAGCGAAGCTAACAAGGTCCCTCCTCTCCTCTGTAGAAAAGGATCTAAATTTCCCCATTCATATTGAGAGCCTTCTAAAATCTGATCCTAGCCTCATCTGCAACCATGCCACACACACACACACACACACACTCTGCACACACCTGACACTTCCCCCCATCCTTCCAGCATGGCCAGCATTTGGACACATCACCTTCCGCATGGCATACCCTCCCTCCAGCTTCCTGTTCTCCTGCCCATCCCTCAAGAGAAAACTCAAACATCAAATTCTGAGTGAAGCCTTCCCAGTTCCACAGCAGTTAGCTCTTTTGCCCCCCATGTTGTCCGGCTCCACATCTGGGTCGTGGTAACACTAGTGACAGTATAGGGTTTTTGGCAAGGAGTTCCAGGCCCCCATGTTTCTTTACCACTTCTGTGCAGTCCTCTGAGTCAAAATGATCTTTTTTTTTTTCTTTTTTATCATTGAGGATTACAGAATCAATGAGTGCTCTTATAATGTCTAACACATAATTACCATTTTTAACATTGACCTAATTTTTAGATATAATTTTTATATCATAAATATTAGAGGATTAGTTCATTATCTTAACATGAAATGAGTGTCTTTGTCCACCTCTTAAGAAAATACAGGTCAGTGCTTGACCTTGAGTCAAACCTCTTTGTACAGAATCCTCTCCCTTTCTGTGCTTGTACCTCATTCCCTTCCTCCCCTTCTCTGAGAAGGGACTGGCAAAGATGCCATGAAAGAAAGGTGCAGGAGAAAGAGATGGATTCTATAGGGCATGGAGTTTAACCTCCTCTTTTTTAATTTCCCTGCACAGTAATACAATTACTTAGATTGTTTTCAGTGAAATTGATCCATCATATGAACTACTACAAGGTTTATATAAAATATAATCAGTAATATTGCCTTATGAGAAAATGCTTTCTTTCATACAATTTATATATGTAATAGACTGGATTGGATTGGTGCACTCAATGAAATGTTGGCTGGAGGTCAGAGTATTACTTGAGTTGGGATCATTGGATGACTCAGTTTGACACACGTGCATTTTGGATATCTTAATGAAATTACCTCCTTTGAGGACTCCATATTAGCAAGAACTCCCATCATGGGTTTAGTTTGAAAGCCCAGTCGTCAATGTACCAGAAAACTTTCTATAGAGATTTACAGATGCGGTGAAGTATGTGTTTAGATCTTGAAAAGGGATTTCAGGTTGCAGCTAGAACCTCCCATGATTATGCAGTGTCACTTACTAAACCTTAAGCAGCAGCAAGAAAAACAATAGAAAAATGTGGATAAATAGAGATTATGCAACTTAACACTCAATCTGCAGGATTTCTGTGTTTGCTTGTATCATTCTCCCATGGATTGGGACTTTCATCTAAGAAAAAAATAGTTCATTCATAGAATTTTAGTGCCATTTTAAAAGGCACTCATGCTTGTGTAATTGATAAGAAATGCAGACCAAAGGCAGATGAGCAAGCGTTTCCGTCTGTGACCCTCCTCTGGAGAAGCCTAGTCTGAAGTTTTATGCGGGGTTTCACATAGAGCCACTGCCAGCTACCTTTGAGCACTGGCCTGCAGGGCTGGAGCTGCTATGAGAACACAGCTCCTGGTGCCTTCAGAGGTGCTGGGTTCTGTCCTTTGTGTCTTCTCAATGAGTATTATCCCTACAGAGCTTCCTAGATGCCTTCTACAGAAGACCCCTGAGCCCTAGCTGGAGATTACTGCTTTCTTAAGGAACTTTCCTCCCTGATTCCTGTATAGTATTTCATCTATTTTAGTGGCTAGTGGCAAGTGGAGCTACCTTTAGTACCTGGACATCAAATTTCCCCCCATTACAAGAGTCATCCAGTTACTGGTCAGTCCAGAGGTGGAGAAGTGTCTGGTGTCCCGTAGCCCCCATGTTTGCTCACTTGGGCCTTACACTGGGCCCCCATTTTTGAGCTCTAGAGGGAGAGGACTGGCTGTGAAGTGTAATCACTAATCATGAGTTAATAAGACAAAGGAGCTTTCAAGAAAAAGGTTAGAGAAGTAGGAAAGGAGGAAGGCAAAGTAGAACGGAAAAAACAATAGAATGTTTAAGTTGTATACTGCACAGAAAAAGACTTTGTTAAAATACTTTGTTCTCGAAAACCATAGTTTGGGGAAAAAAAAGAAGTGAGGCTTTCTTAAAGATTTATTTATTTATAAGAAAGGCACAGTTACAGAGGGAGAAGGAGAGACAGAGAAAGAGACTTCCATCTACTGGTTCACTCCCCAAATGGCCACAATAGCCAGAGTTGGGCCAGGCCAAAGCCAGGAACCTAGAACAACTTTCAGGTCCCCACATGGGTGGCAGGGGCCCAAGCACTTGGGCCATCTTCCATTCTTTCCTAGGCCCTTAGCAGAACTGGAGCAGCCAAGATTTGAACCAGCACCCATGTGGAATGCCAGGTTCACAGGCACTGGATTAACCTGCTATACCACACCACCCTGGGGTTGCTGCTATAGTGGAAATATCATTGTTGGTTACAGAGAAACCCATGCATCATCACTGAGAAATGAAAGAAACGGGTGTCTGGGTGCTAATTTCCTCTCTAGGTTGGCAGAGGAAACCTCTAAGTTTGGCATGGCACTGCTATTGTCTTTCCTTACTATTCCCCCTATACACTTATCATTGACCAAAAAAAGATTAAGTGTAAGTTGGAATTTCTTAACTCTGTAAATACACTCAGCTGGACCTTTCATCTGTCTCTCTTTCTAGATGACAATCTAATGGCATTTCCCTAGGGGTATGGTTCTCAGCTGGTGGTTACTGTCACCTCCCTGTGTTAGCCTCAGTGGCCTCTGATCAGGTTCAGGCCACGCGATGAGAGTTCAGAAGGTCCTCCTAGGAAAATGGCCACAGGGACTGGGGAAACCAAAGCTTCAGCAAACTGGAAAGTCTTACGCGTACTGTGATTGTACCAAGCAATGCCCCTTGATTGCTCAAGTCTAATTAGGCATTGTGCTCTGTCACGACGAGCAACTCCACCCTGTGCTGTTCTTTCCACTAGAAGACACAGTTCCTAAGAAGGCGGTGTGCCACTTCAGTGGGAAGGCCTACGCCGATGAGGAGCGGTGGGACATTGACAGCTGCACTCACTGCTACTGCCTACAGGGCCAGACCCTCTGCTCGACCGTCAGCTGCCCCCCTCTGCCCTGTGTCGAGCCCATCAACGTGGAAGGAAGTTGCTGCCCAATGTGTCCAGGTATCTAAGCCACTGTCCTTCCATTTGTCAAACTGTCATAATGACTTCAGAAGAAACTGAGCAGACCTAGAACTTGCCCACACATCACATGGTTCCTAGTAATGTATCAGCCCTGTTGACATTCTCCTCCAACCCCTGCCCTGCCCTGCCCTGCCCTGCCCTGCCCTGCTCAGAGATCCAGGGTAACTTGCAAAACTACAACAATCCAGGTGAAGGCCCAATTTTGGCTCCATGCTAGAATTACTCTGGTTCTTGAGATTCTCAGTCTCTAAACTTTTCAGTGGCAGTATGGCCTTGTAGGTGTGACTGAATTACTAAAGATACTTGCCCCGTTTTAATGCAATATTGAACCAGCTGAGTGGGGGAAAAAAAAGTCAAGATTAGATGCAGTAGGGAATATGCTTAAGATCTGCTACAATCCCAAATGGAGATGTGCATTTACAGAATACAGCTGGGATTCATCATTCCTTCAGTTCACCAATTCCAGCCCTTACCTCTACATGCAGCCCTCAGCAGAACTTTTCAACTGTACCCGCAATGAACACAGCCCTGGAGCACTCCCCCAGCTGGCTGTTGGGAAGCCCACAGCCCCGTCCTGGTGACAGTGGCATCCTTCAGTCTCTTCATTTCAAACCTAAGATCCCACAGCTGTCAAGAACCTCCCTCAGGCCTTCTCCTAGTTCCCATGTCTGTGGCTCCTGCCAAAACAGCATGTTTACCCCCTAGTGCCAGAAATGCAGGATCTGAGCCCACAGCATGACAGCCTGTGGGCCATGTTCACCATCTAGTCCCCTAAATGCAGACGTGCCAGGCGGTACACAGTGAAGTCTCACACTAGATCCCGAGTGGTGAGGAACCTTGGTGCTCACGTTCCGGCAGCATGAGAGAATCCTGTGCTGTTCAGTTCAGTGAACTGGGATTCCTGCCACTTTAGAAACGCATCTGTGCTGTGCAAGTGTAACAGGGAGCAGTCAGTTAAACCCAGAGTTCAAAGCTCTGCACACAATGGCCTTTTGTTCAGATGTTGTGCACACTAGCCCCGATTAAGCATTTCTTTTTTTTTTTTTTTTTTTTTTTTTTTTTTTTTTGACAGGCAGAGTGGACAGTGAGAGAGAGAGACAGAGAGAGAAAGGTCTTCCTTTGCCGTTGGTTCACCCTCCAATGGCCGCCGCTGCAGCCGGCGCACCGCGCTGATCCTGGCAGGAGCCAGGAGCCAGGTGCTTTTCCTGGTCTCCCATGGGGTGCAGGGCCCAAGCACCTGGGCCATCCTCCACTGCACTCCCTGGCCATAGCAGAGAGCTGGCCTGGAAGAGGGGCAACCGGGACAGAATCCGGCGCCCCAACCGGGACTAGAACCCGGTGTGCCGGCGCCGCAAGGTGGAGGATTAGCCTATTGAGCCACGGCGCCGGCTTCGATTAAGCATTTCGAAGAATGTCCATTTATCCCCCAGGAAGGACGGTGCTAAGTGCACAACAGGCAGTTCTCACTTCTCCACTGACTGCTAACAGCAGCACTCGAGTCAGCAGTTCACCCCTGGCTACCTGAAACCCTTGCTGCACTCGGCTTCGGGGTTCCCAGCTCCCTCGGTTTCCTCCTGTGTCCCTGGTGCTCCCCGCCTCTTTCCTTGGCTGGCGCTTCCTTGTCTGCCCAGTCTCTAAAAGCTGCAGCAAACGTTTGCTGTTATCATCTGACAGGAGCAGTTTCGGTATTGCAAAAGAGACTGGGAGAGGTGAATTGGAGACAAAGGTTATGCAACTCTGATACAGACCATGAGTGGCAGTTTATAAATAAGATTTTACTGTGACACGTAGTAGCCTTGAAGGATTTGAGCTAGACCTTGGAGGACAGGTGGGTTCTCTTCTTTGGGGAGAAGAGGATGATTTAACCGGAAGACCCTAAGAAGGAAAAGGTGAAGGTTTGTGCCCTGGGGTAGTGACTTCTCCAAGGCAAAGGCAGAAAAGGACCTTAATTATCAAATGAAGAGTGGAACCTTTGTCCTTTATAGGCCATGGGGATGCTCATTTTAGAGATGAATGACCTCACAAGGGTGTTTTGGGGAGACTAACAGGGTTCAGGAGGGACTAAGATCCTGGGTGAGGGCACCTGAAAGGCACCTTGCAGATGTCCCAAGGCTATGACCGTAAGGACCCAAACTCCGGTAGTGGTGGTAGGAACAGTGGTAAATATTCCTTCTGTGTAGTCTGTGAGCTTCATGAGAGTGAAGGTACTGCTGGTTTCTCTGTTCATCACCAGAGACTTTTCTAGTGGCTTCTCAGGACTTACTGTTGAGTTGAAACTTAGTTTCTGTTGATGAAGTCTCCTTTCTGCATCTGCTGTATTATTGATGAAGCACTTCTCCCTTTATATCTAAACAAGTTTCGGAATCAGTCAAGCTTTTGCCACCTTGTCCGAGGATCTAAGCAAGAGTTGGCTGTTAGCCGAATTCCTATCCCAGTATCTCGTCGGCTCATTGTGTGATCTTGGTCAAGGCTCTTCACTCACTGTTCAGGCTTCCGTTGCTTATCTGTGGATAGCACATTCCACCTCCAAGAAGAGCTGGGAGGATGGATAAGTGATTGCAGTGGGAGCTGGGTCTTGTCTCTGCAGCAAACAGAAACCCTGACGCATCCGGTAGACCACGCAGCTGACATTGAGTAGCCGCCTCTGCTCCCATGCAGGTGCACCTCTGCCCTCTCTGCACACAGGTACAAAGCCTGTACAAGCCACTTAGGTGGTTGGGGATTGGAAGTGAGGCGCAGGAAGGTCAAGTACATTACCATTGCCAGAGCAAGTTAGCAGACGTGAGACTCCTCGTTCCATTTCCCAGAAAAGTGGTGTCCTCAGTTGTGAACCCCTTGTACTCTGCCCATGTTCCAGAAAGGGACATTTTAAGGAAAGTGACTCTTACAACTGCCTGGCTGCCTGCAAAGGTAAAACATATCCCTAATAAATTCTTTTGTGAGTTCCTCTAAGGTTCCTATCAAACATGACCACAGGAGTGATTCTAAACTGCGACAGTGTGCCCATGGTCTTAATGGCCGGGTGGGGTCTAGTTTTGTGTCATTATCCTGGCTTGGTCTCTGCAGTGCCAGCAGCTGTTTGCCAGGGCTTGTATTTCAGTCTGGGGCTGGGTTTAGTTTTGGCCATGGAAGGCCAGAGTCTAAGCATTGAAACTCCACTTCTGTTTGTTTCCCTGAAGACGTGTTTTGCTGAAAGATTTATTCTTTTTGGCAAAACTGCTCAAAGGCAGCTTCCCTCTTACATTCAGAGGAAAGGGAAATGACTCTCTCCCCTTGGACTGTGTACTGGAGCGGTGAATAGTCTGTGAGGGAGAAGGAGGTGGGGTGGTTTTAAAGCGCAGCGCCGCAGGCTGGGGAAAAAAAACCTTCAGGAACACAGGGGCTAGCACTGGCCTCGCTCGCAGCTGTACCCCCGGAACTTAGCCCAGCGCCTGCCACGTGGCAGCTGCCCAGGAAGCATTGTTGAGCGAATGGTGATGTAATCCCTGAAGAAGACCCAGCTCTTCGCTCTAGACGGATCCTTCTGACTTGCCCTGCCCTGGCCAGGTACAGCCTTGGTAAACGGAAGAGGCTCACCCTGTGCGGTCTCTGCTGCTGCACAGGGTTTCACCAGAAGTCTACCTGCTGGCAGACATGTGGCACAAGAAGACCAAAGCTGCTGCTCAGTGCTCACAACCAGGGACACACCTGGGGTGGGGCAGAACTGACCCCAGCTCTGGGGCCCTGCAGAGGCTTTTGCTGCTTGCCTGTTGACATTCACAGGCGCGGTGGGGTCGAGCTCCCATTTGCCTTTTACACTGAGGCCTCAGAAGCCAGCAGCAAGTTGGCTCCTGTTGTCGTGGGAAGACTCAGCACCAGGGGCTGGATGGACTAGGGAGGGAAGGGGCACTGAAGAAGTCACGTAAATGCCACAGTGATTTTCTTCTTCCAAGTTCTTCCGGGAAGTCTGCACCTCATGCCAGCGTTTCTCAGTGGGCAGGTTAAACGCCATCCCCCTACACACAGAGACGCCTCTCCAAATCACCTGGTCCAGACGTACCGAATCAGGAGCTGTGAGCATCAGCACAGTTTATAAGCTTCTCAGGTGACTGAGATGAGGGAAGCAAAATTGAAAACCACTGGTGGATCCTCAGGCCCCTGCTCCTGTAGATGATAATATTTTTAGTGAATTCCATTTTTAATTCCAGAGTTGACAGGACCCAATGACCATTTAGAAACTGTAAGCGTTCCTGAAGAAATGAAGAGAAGACTAGGAGACCAAGGGCACTGACTTTATTCTTGGAGGCAGCAGAAAAACCTGGGCCGTGGAATCACAGAAGGACACTGAATCCCCAGCTCTGTCATTTACTAGATGCATAATCTTGAGCAATTTCCTTAACGATACTTAGCCCACATCGGAAACTTAGCAGGTAGTCTCTGTCACTCTCCCCTTCCCTCAAATTCATCTTGGACGCACTTCTTGAAGACCTGGTAAATTCGGCACAGAAAATGATGGCTGCAATCACAGAGTATGGTTAATCCTACTTTACCTTATATTTGATGTATTTTATTTTGGTCTCAGGCTGTAGTGAGCATTTTTAAGATGACAAATGTTGAGTAGCCTCTTTATTAAAGTCAGCTAATTAAACAAAATCAGCTAATAATATGGCAGGACATATCCAAGAGGAAATATGTTGTCACATCTTAAAAATGGAGCTTCTTAAGAATTATTTCTTTGCTGTAAAATAATGGGCTAGTTGTCAGATGAAGTATAAAAATGAAAATATATTTGAGGAACTGATAAAAGCTCTGGTCCCTATTAGAACTGGCCTTACGGGGAAAAAAAAACCATATACTTGGTATAAAGAACATTCTTCTCAGATAGTTTTGTTTCATGTAGTATCTTTCTGATCAAAGTACACATATGATCAAATTAGACAGTGTCAGGATATTTGCTGAAACTCAGATCCCATCCACGTGGTTCCAGTGGTAACATAACGAACACCTGAGACTTGATTCAGGCCACACTCATGAGGTCGACCTACATCCATTCCCACATGGGAGGAGGAGCGTGGAAGGGAAATGGCAAAAAAATGCACAAAGAATGAACGATGCTGTAATGATGCCATTTCTCAAACTCTGAAGACACATTTTTATAAAGGATTTCACATTCAGGGATTAGAGAGCAACAGTTACTTGAGTGCAATATTTGGTGGGAAGTAAGAGACATTCCAATTGTACAGTCCCCAGGCGGCTTATACTATAGAGGCACCATTTGACATGAAATAGGGTGGTTTTAGACCCTGGTAGAAAATTATTCTTTATTTAAATGTTATAAAACATCTTTTCCACCATTAGAAAACCAGTGACTCTAACATTAATGATGTGTTTGCAGAAGCGAGGTCTTTCATGTCTGTATTGACTATTCCATTTGGATTGGGAATACACAAGCCAACAGTAAGGCAGCTTCTCCATCATCTCTTAGGAAAAACTGTTCTTTCTTTTAGAAATGTATGTCCCAGAACCAACCAATATACCTATTGAGAAGACAAATCACCACGGAGAGATTGACCTTGAAGTTCCCATGTGGCCCACAGCAGGTGAAAATGACATCATCCACCTCCCGAGAGGTAAGCATCAGTCAACTGACATCTGTCTAACATTCTATAGGGTCTACTTTGGCTTGGTTTTTTTCCTGGTATGTAAAATTGCTTATTAGTATTTCTAAACAGTTTGCCCAAGTTAAGTTCAAATAATGACCCCCCCAGGTAACAGCTGCCTGTCCAGAATATACTTCACACTACCCATGGGTAACGTAAGTCTGCAGGTAACTGAGTAAATGTCTCCTTCCTGGCCCCGCATGCTCAGAGACTTCGTGATGATGGAAAAAAATATGTTCCTAGTCTCAAGACCTTAGTGCCTGGGATTTCTAAGCCATCTCTCAAAATTTTATGTGTGAATAAGCTCTCTAAGCAGAATGATGAAGAGTCCTCGCTTTCCCTGTGGATTCTCCTACGCGTTCATGCATTAGGTTGTGCTCCACTTCAGGGCAGCCTCACTGAGTGAGGCTCCAGTGTCTTGTATGTGTTGATGTTTTTCCAGTCACCTTTTTTTCTTGTTCTATCCTTTCAGTTGTGCAAAATGAGGATTTTATCTGGTCTTTTAAAAACTACATGGTAAATCAAGGCTGAATCCCTGTCAATACTGCCTTCTCTCTAAAAGTTAACGCCTCCTGATGAACATAGTATGAACTTGCTCTTAGCCGTGACTCAATACTGCCTCCTGTCTACTCGCAGCACATTTTCAAAATCATCATGGTACAATTTTGTTGTTTGTTTTGGAAGAAGCAATAGTCATTGCTTGAGAGATTAATGGTCTGTTACTCTAGATACTCTAAATGTTATGCTTGGACCAGGCCAGGTGACCAGGGAGCCAAATTCCTGAACCCAGTGTTTTGGCTCCTTACGTAACTGCTCAGACTGAATGTGCTGCAGTATCACGCTTACATTCGTTCAGTCAGTTATCAGGGCCTGCAGCGTGCCAGGCCCTGTTCTAGATGCCTGGCTGCAGTCACAAGAACAACCTTGCTTCTGTGGCCTTTGGAGGACCTGTTCATTACATAGGACCTCTGTTACGAAGTTCCTGAAATTTCCTCACGTGTCAGTAGCGAGAAAACATGTGTTTCTCCAAGGCCAAGTAATTTGTTTTCATTTTATAGACATTGTGAATCATCAATTATACCTGTTCCCATGTTTTCCATTGGCTGCCAGAAAGCTCAAAGCTAACTTTGCTGGCAATGCTTTTAGCACTAAAACAAAACCAAAGGACAGAGTTTTATAAACAGCTCAGTTGAAACTTCATTTTCCTTTCACCAGGATTTTCCTTAATTTTAACCTTGTATGACACGTACTTCTAAAGCCACATCTTGTATCATCTGAAATACTGGAAAGTAAAAATTCATTCCTTTATTGTATATCTAAAACCCAAATCCATCAAAATTTTACCGTTATCTTTGGCATTTTTCTTGATGCTGAGAAGTACGTTCCTTTTCCCGCTTCTTATAAATGATCGCTAATGCTCCCTTCCCATTCCCTACCCTGGAACACTTGAAGAGGGCACATGAATACAAAACCAGAATTCTAAACCAATCTTAACACCACAAAGCTATGTTACGTGGTGAGCTGAGTTTCCAGAAGTTTAAAAGTAACTCCTTTTCACTATGTGTGTCCTGTGCCTTTCACTAAACTGTTCTTTGATCCATTTAGAAAACCTGACTATGATGGTTTATGTGAGACAAAAGAAAAATAAGCAAACCTGAGTGTTCCCAGTTATTATGTATTCTGTCTGCAACATTGACTGTAAGAATGAAGGAAAAAAAGATCTTCATTCGTGAGAGCAAAATCAGATGTTTCCTGTACAGTAAAATTAATAAGTAGAAAAATCATGTGATAGGCCTAGTGAGTTTTCCAAATTTTAAGAAGTCATTCTTCTTAGAGTTCAGAGAACCAGAGTATCAACCAAAAGACCTACCTCCTGATTGTGGTATAGTTTTGTGCTAATTCACTAGTTCTTCCTTCAGGAAACAGAACAACATACTTTGTTCTATCTTCCTGTTGGCCATTAAGCAGAGGGCTAAGGTATTGTTTCCAATCTAAATCTTAGTTGATCATATATATTAATGATAATCAAAATATATTTTTAAATGTTTATTTTCATCTACTTGAAAGGCAGAGATAGATCTTCCATCTGCTGGCTCGTTCCCCAGATACTGTTCCCACAACAGCCAGGGCTGAACCAGACCGCACGCCCAGAACTCCCATCCAGGTCTCCCACATGGGTGGCAAAGGCCCACACACTTGAGCCATCACCTGCTGCTTCGTAGGAGGCGTTAGCAGGAGCTGGGTGGGAAGCAGAATAGCCAAGACTCAAACCTGCACTCCAATATGGAATGTGGGCATCGCACGTGGCGGCTTAACCCACTGCACCACAATGCCCACTCCCCTCACAGTGTTGTCAAGAGACTAACTTTAATTTTTAAAAGCTACCTAGGCACTTTCTTACTTTATTGATTAGCTAAAGCCATTTTCATCATGCCCAATCATTAACAATCTCACTCAGCTTTTCTTTTTTTAACCCATCCCTAAGCACCTTGCCCTGTGCTCTTTGGATCAACAATATACTTTAATCAACTTTTTTTTAAAATAACAAGATTATTATTTATTTATTTGAAAGGCAGAGTTACAAAAAGAAAGATCTTCCATCCACTGGCACACTCCCCAAATAGCCACAATGGCCAGGGCAGAGCCAGGCTGAAGCCAGGAGCCCAGAGGTTACTCTGGGTCTCCCACGTGGGTACAGGGGCCCAAGGGCTTGGGTCATCCTCTGCTGCTTTCCCAGATGCATTAGCAGGGAGCTGGATTGCAAGTGGAGCAGCCAGGTCTTGAACCAGTGCCCATGTGGGATGCTGGCATAACAGGCAGAGGCCTACCCTGCTGTGCCACAGCACTGACCCCTTTAATCAGCTTTTAAATTCAAAGCAGTGGTTAGTAATAAAACCAAGTTGCTGGCCGGCGCCACAGCTCACTAGGCTAATCCTCCGCCTTGCGGCTCCGGCACACCGGGTTCTAGTCCCGGTCGGGGTGCCAGATTCTGTCCCGGTTGCCCCTCTTCCAGGCCAGCTCTCTGCTGTGGCCAGGGAGTGCAGTGGAGGATGGCCCAAGTCCTTGGGCCCTGCACCCCATGGGAGACCAGGATAAGTACCTGGCTCCTGCCATCAGATCGGTGCGGTGTGCCGGCCGCAGCGCGCCAGCCGCAGCAGCAATTGGAGGGTGAACCAACAGCAAAGGAAGACCTTTCTCTCTGTCTCTCTCTCTCTCACTGTCCACTCTGCCTTTCAAAAAAAAAATAAATTAAAAAAAACAAGTTGCTGATACCTACTTATAGTGTAATTAATATCATCCTTAAAAATTCTGTTTTAGGTCATAAGTGCTTATAATCTGTTCTCTTTAGATATGGGTCACCTCCAGGTGGATTACGGAGAGAACAATGGAGTGTACTCGAGTGAAGGCTCCTCACTGGACTCCATCGCCTCTGTGGTGGTTCCCATAGTAACATGCCTGTCAGTCCTAATAGCATTCCTCTTCATCAATCAGAAGAAACAGTGGATCCCACTGCTGTGCTGGTATCGAACACCAACTAAGGTACCGTCCACAGAAAGTTAAAATGGCTTGACGTCTTGTATATTACTTAGTGAAATTTTGGCTTTACTATCCATGGCCTCAAATGTAAATCAAGTTGTAGCAGTCTTGTCTATAGAACTTGCCCAGGGCTGGAGTGATCACTGAGTGAGTTATCTGTCACCCACTGGTGGATGAATCCTCACTTCTCATGGGTCAATTTCCTGGATGTACTTTTTCAAATGAACAAACAGCTCTGAACTGACTCCTAAATCATTGTTGTTTCTACTAGAAACAAAAGTCGATCACGTGGTATTTTTCAGTCTTCTGTGTTGTAGAATTAGAGAAATCACAAAGGTAGGGTGATGTAATACTCAGGAGTGGGCAAGAGGAGAGGCAGAGGGAATGAGGATGGCGTTCAGAAGTGAAGACAGGCAGGTGTGCCCAAGGCTAGCACAATAGGGAAAGGCAGTAATGGTTCAGGGGTTGTGGAAAGTAAGACTAGACAGGGAGAGGGACAGGTTTGCTATTGAGAGACAATACAAAAGCCCTCTGTATTTTAACAAGGCAAGAGTAAACTACATTAAAGGAAAATAAATCGCAATTCCTCCCAACTCTAATTCTACCTTTTGCATTTAGTGTTCCTTATTTTATAATGTACAATCTTAACAATTGAAAACAGCCTGAATAATTTAATCCAGTTTCTCATCTAGTGCACCATTCCATATACAGCTCCTGCCAGATGGTCACTCTGCCTCTGGTTTTCTTCGGGCAGCGATGCCTCGGGCACAGGCCGGGTCAGGAAGCAGCACTGAACAAGAACAGCTGCCACTGTCCAAAGCTGGAAGAGCCCCAGACACAGAGGCTGGCCCAGCCTGTGATGCTGTTAGCCTAAATGACTAGCAGTTGTCTCTGCTTTAGAATCAGCCCACCTAATAACCTCCACTCATCCTTCTGCCCTCTTTTTTTTTTTTTTTTTTTAAGATTTATTTATTTATTTGAAAGAGTTACACAGAGGAGAGGCAGAGAGAGAGAAAGAGGTCTTCCATCCGATGGCTTACTCCCCAGTCGGCCGTAACAGCCGGAGCTGCGCCGACCCGGAGCCAGGAGCTTCCTCTGGGTTCTGCCACGCAGATGCAGGGGCCCAAGGACTTGGGTCACCTTCCACTGCTTTCCCAGACCATAGCAGAGAGCTGGATCAGAAGTGGAGCGGCCAGGTCTCGGACCGGCACCCACATGGGATGCCAGCGCTTCAGGCCAGGGTGTTAACCCACTGAGCCACAGCGCCAGTCCCCTGCCCTCTTAAATACAAGCCCGCACATCAAGGATTTGAAAATCGTTACCGTTTTCTTCACTCCGTCACCTCTTTGACGGCATACTGACCACTCACCATTTAAATGTGCTGTGTCAGAAGCCCTCTTGGCAGTCCTCCTATAGTAGCTGTGAGAGTAGGGTGTAACAGTCCATGTACAAGGAATCGTGACACTTACGTCACTTGCGTTAGGAAGTCAGTTCTTTTTCGTGTGGGATATGGAAAGCAGCTAATTCTTTGTGGTTCTCCTCCCCTCACTAAACAGCCTTCGTCCCTAAACAATCAGCTGGTGTCTGTGGACTGCAAGAAGGGAAGCCGAGTCCAGGTGGACAGTTCCCAGCGAATGTTAAGAATTGCTGAACCCGATGCGAGATTCAGTGGCTTCTACAGCATGCAAAAACAGAACCATCTACAGGCAGACAATTTCTACCAGACCGTGTGAAGACAGGCAACGTGGGTCAGGTTTGAAACACAGAAAGCGACTCAATCTGCTCTTAAAAGTAAACTAGAGTTTGTGCACTTGCTTAGTGGATTGTATTGGATTGTGACTTGATGTACAACGCTAAGAATTAACTGGGATGGGCTTTGTCTACAGCAGTGTGCAGAACAAGCATTCCCACCTTTCCTCAAGGTAACTGACCAAGTGTTTTCTTAGAACCAAAGTTTTTACAGTTGCTAAGGTATATTTGCTTGTAATATAGCTGTAGAGATATTTGGGGGCGGGGACAGCGAGTTTGGTTGGGGGAAATGGGCGGGAGGGCGGTATTGGGAAGAAAAACTGGTCAGCTCGGCTCGGGGAGAAGCCCAGTGGGATCAAAGCAGCTCAGTGGCCCAGAGGAGATTCTTCCTGTTGCTCTGAAGACTGCACTGGCTGCTGCAAAGCTCAGGCCTGAGTGCGCAGGAGACAGACAAGCCTCGCGTTCCAGCTGCCACAGCCACCTTAGAGCCACCAGGCGCGCGCTTCAGAACTCTCGATAGCCATCCCAGGTCTAAAGCCACAAGTTTCTTTTCTATACAGTCACAACTGCAGTAGGCAGTGAGGAAGCAAGGGAAATGTGGTAGCGACATTTCTCTGACGCGGGTTATTAAGGATCTATACACTTAATACTTTTTGCTGCTTTTTGTTTCCTTCCAAGCCAATCAGCCAGTTCCTAGCAGAGTCAGCCAGGAACGTGATCGGAGGGAGTCATTTCTCGATGTGAGCGCTGGAGCTTTTCTTAGAACAGCGCGGCAGGAAGGAGAGAGGGTGAAGGACACCAGGCATCTCCAGGGGCTACACTTCACTGTTTGTTGTTGCTTTGTTCTGTTCTGTCCTTGGTTGTTCATAGTTTTTGTTGAAGCTCTAGCTTAAGAAGAAGCTTTTTTTTAAAAAAAAAAAAAAAGACTGGGGATTTTTTTTTCTTTATTATATACTGATTCTACAAAATAGAAACTACTTCATTTTAATTGTATATTATTCAAGCACCTTTGTTGAAGCTCAAGAAAAAATAATGCCTCTTTAAACTTTAGCAATTATAGGAATATTTATGTATCTTATGCTTCAAAAACAAAAGTATTTGTGTGCATGTGTATATAATATATACATATATATTTATACACATACAATTTATGTTTTCCTGTTGAATGTATTTTTATGAGATTTTAACCAGAACAAAGGCAGATAAACAGGCATTCCATATCAGTGCTTTTGATCACTTACAAAATTTTTGAGTGATATAAAATCTCACTCAACCTGCAGTTTAATTGGGGAAAAAATGTGTGACAGTGTGAGAGCAAGTGTGTGTGTGTGTGTGTGTGTGTGTATGAATGAATGTATACACACCTAGAGCAGCCAGCATCACACCTGCTACGGAGAGGGTATTCCTTTATTAATGTAATCATCTTCATTTGGATTTGCTTTTGGTTGGTTTTCGATTGGCTCACTGGCCACAGACATTGATGGCCGCTTTTATCTGTGTCACTAATCAGCTCCTGGATTTTTTTCTTTTCAAACAACTGTTTGAAACAACTACTGGAATATTGTCCACAATAAGCTGGAAGTTTATTGTAGTTTGCCTCAAATATAACTGACTGTATACTCTAGTGTTAACTTTTCAAACAGCTCTTAGCACTTTTATACTAATTACCCATTTGTGCATTGATTTTTTCTTTTAAAAATGCTTGTTGTGAAAGACACAGATACCCAGTATGCTTAATGTGAAAAGAAAATGTGTTCTGTTTTGTAAAGGAACTTTCAAGTATTGTTGTAAATACTTGGACAGAGGTTGCTGAACTTTAAAAAAAATTAATTTATTATTATAATGACCTAATTTATTAATCTGAAGATTAACCATTTTTTTGTCTTAGAATATCAAAAAGAAAGAAAAAGGTGTTCTAGCTGTTTGCATCAAAGGAAAAAAAATTTATCAAGGGGCAATATTTTTATCTATTTCCAAAATAAATTTGTTAATGATGTTACCAAAATAGATTTACATCAACCTGATTAGTATAAAAATTTTGTTGACAATTAATCCATTCCTGGCATAAAAAGTCTTTATCCAAAAAATTGTAAATGCTTGCTTTTTGTTTTTTCAATCATGGCCATATTATGAAAATACTAACAGGATATAGGACAAGGTGTAAATTTTTTTTATTATTTTAAAGATATGATTTATCCTGAGTGCTGTATCTGTTACTCTTTTACTTTGGTTCCTGTTGTGCTCTTGTAAGAGAAAAACAAATATAATTTCCTGAAGAATAAAATAGATATATGGCACTTGGAGTGCACCACAGTTCCACAGTTGGTTTTTGTTTTCTTCAAAACAAAGTGCAGAGGGTTTATTTACAACTTGGTTCTTGGCAACAGGTAGACCCTGCAAGTCAAATCACACACTTGAACTTTCCAAGAGCTCCCATATCGGGACCCAGCAGGTGAGCAGCCCTGTTAAGAGTGTCAGCCCAGTGCACCCCACGTCCCGAGAAGCCCCTGTGCTGCTCTAGGCAGGAATACCTGCCAAAAAGGGGCCCCCCGACGTACACAGCAGAGACAGAAAACCTGCCTGTGTCAGTCACATGTCAAACACCACATCATTAGTGTCAAGACTAAGGGACAAGCCGGCGCCGCGGCTCACTAGGCTAATCCTCCGCCTTGCGGCACCGGCACACCGGGTTCTAGTCCCGGTCGGGGCGCCGGATTCTGTCCCGGTTGCCCCTCTTCCAGGCCAGCTCTCTGCTGTGGCCCGGGAAGGCAGTGGAGGATGGCCCAAGTGCTTGGGCCCTGCACCCCATAGGAGACCAGGAGAAGTCCTGGCTCCTGCCTTCGGATCAGCGCGGTGCGCCAGCCACGGAGGCCATTGGAGGGTGAACCAACGGCAAAAGGAAGACCTTTCTCTCTCTCTCTTTCTCACTGTCCACTCTGCCTGTCAAAAAAAAAAAAAAAAAAAAACTAAGGGACAGAAGGGTCACCAGGAGGAAGCCCTAGCTCTTACTCAGCAAAATCGGGGGACTTTGAGGTGGTAGGAAAACAACAGGTGTGCATTCATACCCCAGAAGCATCAACTCAGGAAGGCGCTATAGACAGCTCACCACCAAGTCTGCAAAAAGCACATCTTCCGAGACCTTTTTCCATAATGTATGCTCTTTAATGCTGCATTTCTCTAGTACAAGGCCTAATATTTTCAGATTACTATTACTGTGCAAGTAGCCATCAGTTTTAGAGGAAGAGGCAAATAAGTTCCACATCTTCACTGTCAAATAAGACGCTGGTAAAATAACAAAACCATCTCAAGTTTCTTATACCACTAGGTAATGCCTAAAATGCCAAGCTGGCACCAAACTCGAAACCAGTCTGCTGTCTTCAAGGTGGCAGCGTCTCAGCTCCTAAGGGAGACAAGGATGTGTGCCAACAGGGGCCTACGTGGAGATGTAACAGGGTGCTTGCTACACTCACGTTCTATAAGGGAGGCAGCTGCTCAAAGTGTTCAGAATGTCTCAGAGCCCCAGAAGTGAATCAGAACTTCTGCCACTCAGCACAATCTGGAAAATTCCTCGTGTCCCCTCCGTAACCTCACGGGGCTGACCAGGGTTTCTGCGGCTCTCAGACTAGAGGGATGGACTCTGCATGGAATGAAGAGTAAATGGTTTGCACTGCAAGGAGAGAAAGTCCACCAAAAAAAAAGGTTCTGAAGTACACATGACACTTTTTTTTTTTTACATTTATTAAATGCCACTGATTTGACTGAAACTGGCCAGAGTGTGTGTGACCAGTGACGTATGCATGAGTAGCTGTCTTTCGAGTTAGTCCTTGAGGCAAGTGCACAGGTGTGACTGAAACAACAGAGTTCGCGAGCCGGGCAGTGCTGCCGCACACGGCTTCTCGAGCACCTTAGGAGGCACACGTCTTCCCAGACAGGAGCCACAGCAAGAGTCTGAAGATGAGTGGCAAGTGAACGGTTAGAACGGTTTTTAGACGAGAGGCAGAGCAGCAGCAGCAGGCTATAAAACCGCTCTGCCCAACAGTGTCAGCGGTCACTATAAAACAAGCAATGCGTGGTCTGGGGTTGCTTCAGGAACAGCCTCAGTGCGCTGAATTTCGGTCTTTCTAGACAATACTGACAGGTAATGCGCATACTTGGGATTTTCTCACAAAAATCAGTGCTGGTTCTTGCCCTTGCTACAGTACGAATCTGCCAATGCTGGTGTCCAGCCTTTCAGTGCAGTGTGACAGAGAAAGCCATGAAAACCCAAATGGGCACATGATCAGTTAATAAAACATGTGACTGCACATGCACGGCTAACATTGCTCTCCCTCACTCTAAAGAACAGTTCGGAATTGTTAGCAGATCCAACAGAAAGCATCTCCAGAATTCAAAATAGTGCCATCGTTCTCTTGGTTCTAGAATACAAAGAATCAGTGAAGTCATGATCTATTAATACTGAATCACAAACCCAAGTTCAAGTGTGCTGGGTTTCCAACAGCAGGAAGGTCGTGGTGGGCAGCTTGCAGAATGATGAGAATAATGCTATGGGAAATCCAGCGCAAGTCCACAGGAGACTGCACGGCTCCGGAAGTAACGCCGCTCTATGTGGGACACAGGACTGGGGGAGAAACAGAACACTTTCAGACAGAAATGCAGCTTTTGTATGCCTTTATGCACAACGTACATATATTTTATATACATTTTATATGTATATAAAGACACCACTGAGTGATGAGAACCACATATTAATGGAAGGACCTACAGTAGCCATGTTTTACGAGGCTACCCTCAACAATGAGTTCTCCCAAGACACACTGTATTAGAATTTCCCAGAAATGAGACACCAAAAGGCCATGTCTCTTAGGGCACTACCTAGAGAGAAAAGCCGCTAACATTAGCCCTAAACCAGCAGGCAGGCTCTGGGGGGGAAGTCAAAGAAGGGTGCGAGAGTCTGTCCTTTCTCGGATCCGCACGTGGCAGCCACATCTCTGCGTTGAGTGGTGAGTATTCTTGTTGGAGGCAGGTGTGGCTGCAGTGGGATGATAGGAAGCATGACCTACTCAGGCCAAATAAGGCCATTTTCTGCCTTCTTTCACTTCCGGCCTTTGCATGAAAACAAAGATGGTGGGTTTAGGAGGCGAAGCGCACTCATCTGTGTGAACAACAAGGACAAAGCCATAGAAGGGGAAGGAGAGCTCACCTGCTGAGCAGCATCCCCCTTCCAGGCAGAGGAACAGCAGTTAGCAGGCTGTGCGTTTCCAGGATGGGTGGGAGAGAGCACTTGACCCCGCATCGCCGCCTTCCCACACACACCCCACGGCGTAACGCTCCCCTCTGGGTTTCCTTGAAGTAGAGTCACCAGTGCTGTCTGAATCTTGGCATCTTTTCCACCCAGTCCTTGCAACACAGAGCCAGGGCAAATCCAGGCACGTGCACACAAACAGCCCGTCAGACACAGGCACAGCAGAGCTAGCACGGGCCGGCGCAGAACAGAACCCTATGGCGTGCGGTCAAGGCAGGTTCATAACCACAGGGGAGGCTTTTGGAGTGAAGTACTCGGAACCAGGCTTCCCCCAGAGTGCTCTGCTCTTGGGCTCGAAAGCCTTGCATGCAGCCAAATGCTGAGAAAGCCGGGAAGCCACAGGAGCTCAGTCTAGCCCTGGCTCTCATGGCCATGCCCTGGGGACCCACTGCAATTGAGATTTAAGACATGTCCTTTATGTTCGTCTCATTCCTGCTTTGCGTCTAGAACAAACCTCGGAACACTCCAGCTTTCAAACCAATGCTAGCACAACACAAAAGCAAACAAAGATGTCAGGAATAAAAAAGAAATTCAGAATCATATTGGGAGAAAAAGCCATCCATCAAAAACATACAGCTTACTGGAAAATGTCAATTCGCTCTTTCCTGCCCCCATGGTAACCAGCTCACGGCTGGCTCCTGTTTCAATGTCCAAGTCTCTTTCAGTGACACTGAGTATAACCCACGTGGAGACCCGTGTACACCACTGAGAGCCACGTTTTATGAAACCGTGGTTGAAGAGAGGGCCCACGTGAGATGTCTTGATGTCTCAGGAACCCTAACCTTCCTGGGGCTCGGCTAACTGATGGAGAAGAGAGCGCCCAGAGAAGGGAAATGTTAGGAGATAAGGCCCACCCTCACAACTCCATCCCAGCCCCGCAAGGTGTGCTTGGTGATGCTCTGAGAATCTGTCCTCTGAGTGACTGCTACAGTTCATAGGTTCTGCAGCCCCCTCCTGTCTTACCTTGCTCCTGCAGCAAGGTAAGGGATCTCCTCCCTTCTCTTTTTCCTCCATCAATGTCCTCATCCTGTGTGCACCCCCATCTTGCTTCCAACATTTTTGGCTCTCCTGCCACTGCCCTGGGTTTCTGGAAGGCCATTCTTTTTTCGCCACATCTCCTTGTCCCTCACACCAGACTTTTAGGCATTGTTAAGTGACTGGCTGTCTGCTCCTTCATCTACCCTCACTAAGGCCCTCACTACCATCCCCAAGATGGCAGACACCACCATCTTCAAACCTCCCAGTGCCCAGGAGTCAGCCCTTGATACCCGAAAGGCGATGGCAATATCTTGCTAATTTTCCTCTTCTGCCTTCCTTGATGTTTATAATTCAGCTGTGAATGTTATTTCCAGCCCAGGACCGACCTTAAGTACAAGTTACATTTTATGTATCCATGATGTCTGCAGCCTATGTGAGTCACGTGTGTCTCCTTGCCCTGCATGGTAAGATTAATAAAAGCTGTGCATTTGCAAGTTATGTTTCGCAAGACCATGCGTTTCCTGACTAACCAAAACACCCCAACTATTGTGTGCCCGTTCCATTATACAACTCACCCTTCAGTATATAATCAGTTAACAAGCTCGGGACTTTCTCACTGTCCTCCTTCATGGCCCGGAGAACTGCAAAGCAAAGGAGAAAATGAAAGCAGCAACAATTTAAAACCCAGATAAACAAAAAGTAATGTTTAATTCCAATCATTGCAGCTTTTATTCATTATATAACTGATTCCTACAAATTATGGATGCTTTTCTGTATAGGGAATAGAACGTAAAGGCTCAAGACCTCATGTTAGTGAGCAGGCCCTTACCAAGGTAAGAATATTCCACTGACCCGAGATTCATTTCCCTAGTGTAAAAGCCCCAGACACGGAAGGCAGGAGGGAGGAATCGCGTTATTTACGCAGAACTTGGGTTTAGTCACAGTCCATTCTAGAGAGTTCCTGTGCTCCCCAGGAGTGGATCTGTCAGACTTCCCACAAGCCTGTAAAGCAAAGACCAAACTGAAGAACAGGCTTTGTGAGGCAGCCCCCAGCACCTGCCAGGCGTCCTGCTCCTCACCCAGAAGGGAATCTGACAATTCCACCTTCTACATAAAGGCCAAAACTGTGGGTAATCCACGCCATGCAGATACAGGAAGACACAAAAATTAACTGTAATTGCCAGCTCAAACTTCCTCCAGAGCGTCCTGGTAAAAATACCTCAGTGTTTCTCCCCAAGTAAATGACAAGGCGACATCGTGGAACTGTCACGTCAGCCCTCCTGGGGTTAAACCCTGGCTTCCTTACTTCCTAACTGTGTGACTTGAAGTTACTTAATCACTCTGTGCACAATTCCTCATCTGTAAAATGAGGGAAATAATTAGATCTCAAAAGCTTGTTATGAGGATTAAGTCACTAATTCGGACACAAAGGACTTAGAATAGTGCCTGGCACACAGCACGTGCTGTGTACTAGCCATAACTAACATGACAAATATAATTATTATTATCATTATTATAAAATCATCTTCTAATAAGAAGACTATGCATCCATAAAAGCTGATTCTTGATTTTGGCTAATACCTATAGGTGGAACAGTTGAAGTTCAGATCTCTCCCTAAATGTTCACAAGATAACCATTTTTTAAACTTTAAGGTTTATTTATTTACTTGAAAGGCAGAGATGCAGAGAGAGGGGGGGGTCTTCCATCCACTGGTTCATTTCCCAAAAGGCCCTGGGCAGGGTCAAAACCAGGAGCCAGGAGCTTCATCTGGGTCTTCTAAGTGGGCACAGGGGCCCAAACACTTGGGCCATCTTCCGCTGCTTTCCCAGGCACATTAGCAGGGAGCTGGATCGGAAGTGGAGCACCTGGAACTCAAACTGGTGCCCATATGGGCCCTAGGTTGTGTCCTGGCATCCCATATGGGTGCTAGTTTTGTTCCGATCCAGCTCCCTGCTAATGGCCTGAGGAAAGCAGTAGAAAATGACCCAAGTGTTTGGGCCCTCGCCACCCATGTTGGAGACCCAGATGAAGCCCTTGGCTCCTGGCTTCTGCCTGGCTCAGCCCTGGCAGTTGCAACCATCTAGGGAGTGAACCAGCAGGTAGAAGATCAATCTCTCTCTGTCACTCCCTCTCTCTCTGTAGCTCCGATTTCCAAATAAATAAGTCTTTAAATAAAGAAATGAATGAATCCAGCCATGTGATGTTCTTTCATTTGGCTCCCTCTCAGTCATTATCATAAATATTTATAATCAGAAAGAACCTAACTGATTAACAATTCAGTCTGTTCATTTTAAGGGCAAGGCAAGCAAGGCTGATTGGTTGTGACTTACTGCAAATCCCACATACAAATCCATTTTTATCCTGGTTATTCAATGTGACCAAGAGAGGATAAGTGATTTCCAAGGATATCTCTGCGGATAATAGGGACAGAGCCCGAATTCTGGGCTCGTTCATGTCTAAGAGATGCACAATATAATGAATATTTTTATCTCACAAATAAAACGTAAGCCCCTTGGGGTGAGGGGGCTGATCTTTGCTGTGTTCACTGAAGCATCTCAAGTATCCAAAGCATGGCCTGGCACTGAGTAGGTCTTCACCAAATATTTGCTGAATGAATGCATGTTCTTAAGACGTTACCATCAATTTACGTCCTGCTTATATCTACTGCCTTGGGTTCTACATTGATAAGAATGGTGGGGGAGTGGGGCTTAGGCTATACCCTGCCTCTTCAGTTACTGACAGCCACGGTTACATATGACCCATAAAGCATTTAACTCACTGGTATATGAATATGTATTTACACAAGAGGTGGTAGAAATACGAGTCACATTTTTTCCCAAAAATTTAGCTCGTGAATATTTCAAAAGGAAGAAAAACACACAAAAAAAAATACAAAGCAGCACAGCACAGGCATCAGTAATATCAGTTTGATATCACAGCAATTTTTGGTTTCAATAATGATAAATAATAAATAAATTAAATAAATAATAAATAATTAATAATAAATCAGGACATCCACCATTTACAATCCTAAATTGACAAAGAAAACAATAACAAAACCAGCCAACTAAAATCAAGTCTTTAAGAAGCAGCAAAAGCAAATCAGGAAACAATTTAATCTTGTCTTTGCTCACTTTTTGTTAATATTTGAAGATCTTCAACAGACGGTGGTCCATTTTTTTTCTCATAAGGAATGACTGTGGTCAAATACTGCCAAGGTAAAAGACAAACACAGTGTGTCACTAAAGCTGAATTCCCTTATCTTCAGAAAACGGATAAAGCTACTAGGGAGTCTACTTTATGGAACACTGGCCACTTTGGCAATGAAAACACAGATATGTATAAGAATAAAGGCATCATTATTTCAGAGTTCATTTTATCCACATCTATCTGTCTCACACAAGCCTGATATAAACATAAATAATCCTTTTTTTCCTTTTCAGTTATTGAAAATTTTAAAGAACTCATTCTGAAAATGGTAAGCTCAGTTTGTTCATTTTTAGAGTGAATTCTCACCTACATTCACCTTACATTTTTTCAACATTTTTTAAAAAGTAATTAAATTGAAAATATAGCTTTAACAGATCTACATAAAAAATCAATTTCCAACAGCCAGATAATTCTGGTTCAGACCATTTTTATTCTGGTTGAACAAAATGGTCAACATGGAAACATGACGAGTTCAAGAAACCTGTACCAGCTTCTTCCAGAAACAAAAGACACACTCAAATAAGTTTAGAAGCTAACTATTATTATTTTATATTATTGTGTAAGTAATTAGAAGTGTCTTTAGGTACTGAAGGAGATGAGCAAAAGGAAAGGAGCAAACAGACTAGGGGGAAATTAATGATGAAAATGAACCTCTGACAAGGAGACGAGCTGCCAAGCTCCCTGCTCGTGAACGCTCACAGGCACCACAGTTGGGCTCCGTGACTATATTCCAAAGGGAACATAATCCAAAACTGATTGGCAAAACTCTCCTACTTGGACCTCATCACCACCACCAAAAAATATGGTCCGGTAAGGTTTGCATCTGCTCGCATAGAGTCATTGGTGTGTACTTGGAATCTCTTCTGCCCCATCCATTATGTAGCCCCATGCCCTCAATCTCAGCTCTACTCCCAATCCTCACGCAGCGATCTTAGCCCACTCATAATTAAAAAGCAGCATAGAAAAAAGAAAACTGCTTAACAATAACCGGACCACCAGGTCCGGAAAAGTCATAAAAAGGAAGTGTTCAATCTTATAAGAAACTTGGTGCTGTAACATCTTCGCACAGACATCACCAAGGGCAAGCCCAACTGTACAACCAAACGTGTTTCTTTGGGAAGAACACCCCACGAAAGGCCAGAAAAATGCTCTCAGAGGTCTTCCCTCGCTGCACATGTGGCCAGCAACCGGGAGAAGCCTGAGGATGCTCTGGCCAGTGGGCTGCGCCCTCAGCCGCCCTGCCCCACTCCTGGGCTGGTGCTGAGTGCCTTGCCATCCTGTGGAACAGGAGAGGCGGAAGGCACCAGGATAAAAATGCTCCACCCTCCCTTCATGGAGCCCCTCTCTGAGCTGCAAAAGTCAGCGTGAACCCCCCTCCCTGACGTCATCTCCCTTCTGGGGAAAGACAAACACTCGGAGGCGGACGAGGGTCCTTTGGATTACGTGCCTACAAGCCACGTTCTGCACTTTTTTTAAGCTTCGCCTAAGAACTAACCTAAAGAGTTTTCTTTTTTGAAGTGAAAACTTCAAATGGTAAAAGGAGGTGTTAAGCACACTTGTTAATGTAGATGCGCCTCCCATTGTGTGATATTCCTTAAATAATTATGGCAAAAAATGTAGATAAAATCTAATCTGACAGCATATTCACATGTATGACTTGTACATAAATGACATCTCCTGCTTCCTTGGGCAGACAACTGCATTGGCTGGCCACAGGAATCCTTGAACACACATGAATTCACCTCAAGGAGACGAGACAGACTCTGTACATTTTTTTTTTTTTAATCTAGAACTCTAATCTCAAAGACGCCATCATCTGGCTTTCTTTCCTCCAAAATGAGATCCTGGTTCACAGCTGTTGGCATGCGAGTAGTACATGCTAGTTTGTTATTTTTGGTCAGATTTGCTACACACGCCATCTATGATGTCAAAATGTTAGTATCTAGGTGTTTAACGGTGAGAGGAACGGAGCTCTACAGCACATCTTAAGAACACGTTTAACCTACGGTCCAGCCGGGAAAATGCTCCTGCAAGGGAAATTCTGTCACCACACCACCACACAGTGAACTCTCACTTCTCTCTTTTCGGCAGGGGCTTTAGTAAATTAGTAAAACTGCCAGCTTTCGGTCACTTACACAGACAATGAAAAAAGGCAGGGGGTGAGGGACAAAAGGGTAACCGAGCACCTGTTTGTCTCCACCTGAACTTCCGAAGGTGTGGCGGAGGCCATTCTGAATGACACTCGAGATGCCTTCCATGCTGAAGCGCTAAAGGCAGCGGTATGCGCCCGGAAGAAAAGGACAGAGAGAGAAGTTCAAAGACGATTAGTGAGAACGTACTGTGATGACACATGTGCCCGAGGGGCAAGCAGTTAGGAAATGCCACTATGCATTCAGACCAAGCAGGCAAAATCATGCTGTTTGTAAAATATTTTGGCTTTCATTCCTTTGCAAGTTAAAGGTAAAAGCAACTGCTTGTATGCTACTACCTTCATGGAGATTTCTCCGGATGGAGCTGATAAACGCTAATGCAAACCCTGTCAGTTGTATACCAATGTGTTGCATACAAAATTCACCACGTCACTTTCAAGATACCTTTTGATACTGTTTTCCCACATTTTTTCCAAAGTCTGAAAACTTAATCTCACAGTATGCATCTTTCAGCGCAAGTCTGTATCTCTCCACCGTCGGTTTAGGGAACATCAACCTAACATTTGGCAAATGAAAACGCTGTTACTTGGAAAGCCGACTGTTGCTTCCCACTTACTCTTCCGGCACCTGCCACTGCCTTGGTGGAGAAAATGTAAATTGGAAGACGCCATATGCTTCCAAGAGAGCAGTGTGGATCCCATGTGCTACCAGGTCCCCAAAAACTTCTGCAAAGACTTCTCCCACTGCAGTGCGTTTCTAGGAAACAACTCTAACATCTTTCTCCCAGCAACCTCCAAACTTCCTAGAATTCATTGTTCTGAGAAGAGAGTATTTTTTCCTAAACCACTTCTCTTGATTTGTAAGCAGTCTGCAATGCCACCAGACACGGTGAAGAGAGTCCGGCGGCACCTCCACGGCGGCTGACTCAGAGCAGGGAGGGATGCCTGCAGCATGACTAAGGGAGGGGAAAGCGTACGGGAGAAGGAAGCCCAGGCCTGATTCATCGGCTGGTTCCTTTCCCTGGAATTTTACAGGGGAAAGCCGAATCCGTAGAGACGTTTGCGGAATCCAAGAATATCTTACCAGCCCCCAAGAAGCAGAAGAAAAGAAATCAAGGCAGTGGTCTCTGTCCCCAAGACATGTGTAACTCAGTCCAGTGGTTCTCGAAGTGTGAGGCAGGAACCCCCTCCCCAGGAGGCCCCCACAATCTTTTCTTAATAGTACCACGAAGTAATTTATGATTTTTACTCTCATCCTTTCATTGCTTACAGTGAAATCTTCCAGCTGACAGACCCAATCTGCAGAAGCACATTTGAGAACCGATCTTCAATCAAGCCACGTAATGAGGCTGACAAAATGCACGAAAATGACACTTATCTCTTTTCAAATACAGTTATTTTTCATTCAAATATACAACTTACCTAAGAATTAATGAATTTATTTCTGATAATTTTAATGAATACATTTACTGTTACCACTTTTAATTTCTCTTTTTTTAAAAAAAGATTTATTTATTCATTTGAAAGTCTGGGTTACACAGAGAGAAGGAGAGGCAAAGAGAGAGAGGTCTTCCATCTGATGGTTCACTCCCCTGTTGGCCACAAAGGCCGGAGCTGTGCCCCATCTGAAGCCAGGAGCCAGTTGCTTCTTCTGGGTCTCCCATGCAGGAGCAAGGGCCCAAGCACTTGGGCCATCTTCTACTGCTTTCCCAGGCAATAACAGAGAGCTGGATCAGAAGTAGAGCAGCCGGGATTAGAACCAGTGCCCATATGGGATGCCAGCACTGCAGGCGGCGGTTTTACCCGCTATGCCACAGAGCCAGCCCCACCACTTTTAATTTCTAACATAGTAAATACTGATCAATATAACCTAAGGTTCCTCAGGGTTTTTGTTTTTTTTGTTTGTTTGTTTTTGTGTGTGTGTGTGTTTGTTTTTTTGTTGTTGTTGTTGTTGTTTTTTTTTTTACAGGCAGAGTTAGACAATGAGAGAGAGAGACAGATAGAAAGGTCTTCCTTTTTCCATTGGTTCACCCCCCAAAATGGCCACTACGGCTGGCGGACCGCGCTGATCCGATGGCAGGAGCCAGGTGCTTCTTCTGGTCTCCCATGTGGGTGCAGGGCCCAAGGACCTGGGCCATCCTCCACTGCCCCCCAGGCCACAGCAGAGAGCTGGACTGGAAGAGGGGCAACCGGGACAGAACCTGGTGCCCCAACCGGGACTAGAACCCAGGTGCCGGCGCCACAGGCGGAGGATTAGCCAAGTGAGCCGCAGCGCCAGCCCCTCAGTAAGTTTTAAGAATGCCAAGAATTGCTGGCATGGTGATGTAGCCAACAAAGCCACTGCTTGCGACATTGGCATCCCATATGGGCACCTGTTCATGTCCTACCTGCTCCACCTCTGATCCAGCTCCACGGTAATGGCCTGGGAAAAGCAGTGCAAGATGGCCCAGGTGCTTGAGCCCCTGCCACCCATATGGGAGACCTGGATGAAGCTCCTGGCTTCAGCCTGGCTCAACCCTGGCTGTTGCAGCAATCTAGAGAGTGAACCACTAGATGGAAGATCAATCAATCTCTCTAACTCTTTCAAACAAATACAAAAATCTTTAAAAAAGTAGTAGTAGGAGGAGGAGGAGGAGGAGTAGAATAGTAATAGTAGCAGTAGTAGTAGTCGTCGTCGTCCTGGCAACAGAAAGCTAAGAAATGTTAAAAGTTGAATCCTCGAGGGAGCTCACAATGTGCCTGTGGATCAGTCACAACTCTCGATGACGTTACTGTAAGTCTGAGAGCCACATCTTATCATCTTGAGGGGGCCTAAACCACAGGGCCTCTCCTCATCCATCAACCTACTTCCCTACCCCCTCTTTCCTGGGTCTGCACACCAGTTTTGCTTTAGCAGAATCAAATGTCTAGCTGAGATACTTCAATGGCCCCTCTTCACTCTGCGGAAAGCGTGACCATGGATGGAGGGGGCCAGTGTTAAAAGACAGACCTGCATGGAACCAGTTCTGTCGATTGTTCACAGGCCAGCATACAATTCGTTCACATTTTTGAGAGAGTATTAAAAGAGATGGCATCATAGGCTCTGGAGTCTACAATAAAAATTACAAACTATTTTCAACCAAACAAGTCAAGTCATTTTTTTTTCCAAATTCACACTATATAATAAATTTCCCTAAATAAGCAACAAAGAGAAAAATGTTTATTTTCAGTCAGCAGAGCCTAGCCCATTATCTATGGGTTTACTAGAGCTAGACATAAATTCAGAAAATCTCGAAGTGGATCAGGATCCACATAGCAGGACACGAAGGCTCACTTCATACTTGGATAACACATTCATCCCAAAAATTCATTCCAAAAACACTAGCTTTTAGTTTCCCAATCAAAAACCTAATTCCTGTCGCTACAAGAGAAAAAAAAAAAAAAACTTGATGCCAATTTTTTCAGTCACGATACACTGCATTTTAGTTTTCCTTACACTGCGGAGCACCATGTCAACCACTGACAGCCTGACTACTCGTGAACGGTGGCTTTCACGCAACCAGAACTCGAGACTTCATGGAACTAAGTGAAAATGTGCTCACGGGGCCGGTGCTGTGGCGTAGCAGGTAAAGGCGACGACGCCAGCATCGGGGTCCTGGCTGCTCCACTTCCAATCCAGATCCCTGCTAACGACCTGGAGAAAACCAGCAGAAGATGGCTCAATTGTTTGGGCCCCTGCCACCCACATGGGAGACCCTGCCTCCCACATGGGAGCCTTTGCTGTTGCAGTCATCTGGGAAATGAACCAGCAGATGGAAGATTTCTTTTTTTCTTCTCTCTCTCGCCCTGATTTTCAAATGAATAAATAAGTCTTCTTTAAAAAATGCACTGAGGGAAGCCCAGGCAACTTGGGCAAGTGTGAAACTAACAGCTGATGCTGGTGAAAGGAAGCAAAAGGAACCCTGAGAGCCGGGCTCGCTGAGTCAGGAGCTGCGGCAGGCAAGCCCCACGGTCTCCTGACCTTTTGCCAGTTAACAGACGAACCAGGGAAGCAATGTGGCAGCCTGCAAGGTTCTGCTGGGAAAATTTCAGAACAAGAAACTCAGAAGACTTTGGGGGAGAAAAAAAAAAAGACTGAAAACTAAAAGACATGGCTGAGAACATTCCTCCACCTGAGGCTCCAATTGCCATAGACTGTCCCAGCCCACCACCCAGGGATCACGCCGTGTGATTTCTGCCTTCACTGCACCTTCAATCCTCCCTCTCCGCGAGCCCTCCCGGTGGCAACTGTAAATTCTCCTACCCTCATCCAATTTCCTGTCCTCAGGGTTTCCTGAAACAGCTCTTTCCTGGGTCACTTCTTGGACTGAGATCCACAGGTGCTTTTCAGAACTGGCTGATTCACTCCTCCCTGACCCCTCCCCCAGAGTCACCACCCACTCCCCTGACTCCTGCCCACCTCCCCGGCAGCCTCATCTCTCTGCACTCCCCTCTGATGGATCGGCAGTCCCCAGGACGTTACCACTCAATAGTGTCAACTCCGGCCTCCATCAGTCTACAGCCACACCCTCCTAAGATGAGTAAAGTGCCCAGAACAGAATGGCCCCTGGGAAGCGTCCAGGAAATGTTAGCTGTAACTCCCCTCCTGAGCTCAGTTCGTGTGCTTAACACACAAGCACAGTTGGACATCTGCACCTATTGCATATTAATGGCCTACTGGACTTATCTACACACAATACCTATACGCCTATAACTCATCATGTCCAAAATGGAATTCATCCTTTTCTTCCTCACCAAAAAACAAACAGCCTGCTCCTCCTTCAGCATCCTATACCTCCCTCAAAACACACATTGAGCCAGTTGGTATTCCAGGCATTAGGAATTCAACACACAAACTTAGCCGAAGCCCCTTCTGACTTCATATTCTATTGCAAGGGGCCACAAAAAGACCAGTGAATGAACCGGGTAACTATAGATAACACATGCCCTGTCGATAGATGTGAAGGGGCAATTAAAACTGGATGCCTGCTCTATTCCAGGAGGTCAGAGACAAACTGAAACATGAATGATACACCCATTCCAGATGAGCCACAAAGGGCAGTGGACAAAGGAGAGCTTCTCAGAGAACAAATCTCAAAG